TCCATGATTGAGCCTCCACACAAACCTCTTTGAGCTCTCCCTCCAAGGCAGCAGCGGCCTCCAAGGCAACCAAAGAGGCCTCCCGCTCCTTCATAGTGAGAAGGTCGCGCCCCTCCAGTTTGGCCTTCATCATAAGAGCGGCCTAACAGATGGCACCGTGAGTCTAGAAAAAAGAAGCYAAAAAATAAGCAAAGGTTAGCCCTGAGAAGATTGCGCGAAGTTAAAATAACATCAGATCTTACCTCGGCCGAATAATCCAACATTCGTTAAATAACCGACCCTGAGGCACTAATGAACTTGGACGCTCTACTCCAGCAACGGTCGAGGCAGGCGCTCAATATCCGCATTGCATTCTCCCTCACCCCTACGCTTGAAGATTCCACCTTGAACCTTATATCGATGTCCGAGGTGCCGCTCATCCTGGCCTTAGGGTCATCTATCAAGTCTCCGAAGGGACTTACCCATTGTTCAGCGCGTACCTTCCTCACCTCGTCCTCGGAGTGGTGAGCCTTGCGCTTCTTCTTCTTGGACTTCTTAGGGGAGGCCTTCCTCCGAATCTCTTTAAGGGGAGAGACCTCAAGAATCTCTTGATCCTGAGGGGCTCCAGCTGCAGTCACCTCMTACGTTGAAGCAGCTTCATGTCTGACCTCAACCCCTCGACCTCGGTGGGAGGGTCAACAATAGCAGAGCTTGGTGCCTCCTTACTCTTGGAAACCTGCCCAACCCGTGGGCGCTTGCACCTAACATCTTGGGAAAAGCCACAAACCATGGCTGCAAGGAAAACATACGAGGGATGAGTATCAAAGAAGAGCAAATGTATGATAAGTGCAAAAATTACATCAAAGGTACACCAACCTAGTTCCGAATTCGGTCTCTGAGCTTCAGGTGGGGAGAAAAAGGGATTGTAGTCAAGCAGTCCCGAAGTGAGGATAAGCTTGTCTGTTATGAGTGTGCTGATCTGCCTGCCGCTTTTGAACCTACCTTTGAAAAATTTTAAAGCATTGAACGTCGGCTCGGAAAGTTGGGGAATTGGCCTTATAGCAACTGAAAACATTAAAGTTATGAGTTAAACAAAGAAAGGAAACAACTAAAAGCGAGTAAAGACTCCACTCCTTACCTAAATTCCCAAACCTATAAGGGACACCGAAGAAAGGCAGGTTGGACTCGTTCCTGGCTAGCCATGTACCAAAGGCGAAGAACCACTTCCCAGCCTATTTCTTTATGGAGGTCGGACCCTTCAGAATGCCTCCCGCGCCCTTCTTAGCACACAGATAATACCTCTCTGGCTTCCTAGATATTCGCTTAACCTTAAAACAGGCTAAGAGTTGGTCGACTCTAAGGAGATCCAGATCGTCTACCTCCCTACACTTTAGCCAAAACAAAASGGCTAGACTAAAGATGACTCCCCACCCGTTGGGGGCCACCTGAGCTGGAGCTAACCCAGTTCGAGGTAGGAACTCCTGCACCAAAGGATGAATGGGCAAGTGAAAGCCATACTCGAACATCTTTAAGTATAAGGTTACACACCCCTCCGGAGGATTGTCATCTCGCTTCCTTTCCTTGGGAAGCCTAAGTATGATATCATCTGGTATGCTATATCTCCTACGAAGGGGGCCAAGGTAGTTCTCAGGCATCTTAGAAGGGAATTCTAAACCTTGCCTCGAGGTTGAAGTATCGCTATCATCCCCGTCATCTTCTGAAAACCTAAAGTTATCTATCTCCTCTTCTAGTTCAGAGTCTAACCTACTCGCAAACTGCTCTATGGAATCGGCCCTCTTAGGCGAAGGGTCTCAATTCCGAACTGCGCCACTAGACGAACTACTATTACTTGAACTTGAGAAACTAGAAGACGTCGACATGACTTTGAAAATAAAAAAAAAAAGAGAAAACTTAACAAAATTGAAGGAGCAAGACTGACCTAAAGATTCTGATCTGATGAGGTCGGACTCAAAGATTCAGAAAGCGTAAAAAGTGAAGATTAAGATTTAGGGGTATTTATAGTAACCTGAGTTTTAATCTCCACCATACACGTGTCAAAAATTGGACGACCCAGATCGGTAGAAGTCCGAACGTTAGGGGTACTCGAGTGCGTGCTGGATGACGGTTCCATTTTCAAGGTTTCCAACGGTAAATAATTAATTATGACGGCGTCGGAAGTCACCAAGTGGATTGGTTCTTCTTACAAAAAGAACTTCTCTGCCAGATCGAGATCGAACCTGGTAGAGAGGGGGCCAATGTTTGGGATGAAAAATCCTATTGCCACGTGGAGGATAGAGATTCGCCGCTGACAGAAGATTTGAATGAACAACTTGTGGAGTTCCATCTCGGAACCCTCYGAGATGAAAGTCTTGCCTTTTCCTATTAAGGAATTAACCTGTCATTTTAATGTGTAGTTCCATCGGCCCAAACTCGACACGTCCGACCTCTAATCCGACCAAGGTAACCGCTTGTCGCAACCCCTGTCGGAACCTAAACCTATAAATAGAGGGCTTCATTTCACCTTCAGGTATCGAATTTCTCCTCGAACTTAATATTGAGTCCGAGCTGCTTACTGACTTGAGCGTCGGAGATTTTGCCCTCTTGTGCAGGTCTTCCCCTAGTGTTCAAGCGAGATTGACGTTGTGTGAATTCTCGCATAAACAGTATTGAAACTTTTAAAAGGAAAGAGATATTTTTGAAACAAATGAGAATGTTTGAAGTCATATTTTGTAATTTAGAAAAAGAAAAAAGAAATACAATCTTTCCATATAAAAGAAAAAATCCAGCTAATGTAGTGGTCAAGAAAGTTACACCATCATTAACAACGTACTCTTTTTTTTTTTTGTACAACAACACAGATGTGTATAAGAGACAGCGCTTGAAGATTCCACCTTGAACCTTATATCGATGTCCGAGGTGCCGCTCATCCTGGCCTTAGGGTCATCTATCAAGTCTCCGAAGGGACTTACC